TGAGCCCGATTGACCAAATCATATAGCTGAGCGTTATTGGTTTTGATTTCAATCCCGACTTGTAATCACTATCATCATCGGGGGTCAAATAGGCGTGTACACACACACACACACACACACACACGTAATTGGCTGATACCATTCGAGCTGACAGCGTTCGTTGCCTTAAGGCGGGCACCCGCGAGACCCGAATACATGCGCGCACCCACGCACTTGCAGGCAGGAGCGGACAGAGTGAGTCGGGTCTCAAGCACACACAAATGTTTCTAGGACGCATGCAAACAAGCACACACACACACACACAAACAGAGCGAGCACATGATCGCATGCACTACGGATCCATTCAATAGAGGAGGTGGGCGGGAAGGATCATTCGAAGTTTGATAGATGCGTNTACGAGAAAAAAACGGTCGACCGTGAAAAAAAACGACCCGACAGGTACGTAGGACCTTCGGAGGGATACATCCGTGTGAACATATTCATATTCGTGTTTGGACGAGCAGCGTTCGCATCGGTCACAGGTGACAATAAAAAAGTGCTACAACCCCGAAAAAACTTACCGGGTCCTATTTGTACCTTAATGTATACAATACAGGATAGGGAATTGTGCGTGAATACGAGGTGTTTATTGTTAAGAAGACAGAATTTATGATCAACAGGATTGAAAACATGAAAAAATCTTCTACTGGTTATACCGAATATTTCTTTTTTTCATCGTTAGATAAACCGTGGATTATGAAATTTGTCACGATGAGTCGGCTTACCCGGTAAAAACTGCTTTTGGGCGGGGACAACAAATCTGATAAAACAAAACCCAACACAGGTGATTGGTCAGCATTGTATTATATTGTATTGTATTGTACTATACTGTTTGGTATTGTGATGATTAGTGCAGACAACGTTTCCGTCAAAAATGTACTCACCGTTACAACAGTGAAGAAAGTAAAACAAATCAATGATAAAACTTAAACAGAAAATTATTTTTGCCAGTTTAAAATTAGTTCGTTTCGGATCTTAATCTTGTCAGTAAGAATTCGAGCCAGATAGGGGACCGTTGAGTAGCAATAAATGTTTGTGCGGGAGGGTAAGCAACGTGAACTGCGGATCGGGTTGTAGCGTGGAGACGGTGAGTAAATAAATTGGAATTGAGCAAATGACTGGGGTCGTTGAGTATCTTATGGGTGAAATTCTCACATGAAGTAATAATACAGTCACGCAGTTTTGTTTAAGAGTGTTTACGGGACTGTGAGAAACGGGGCTACTTATTACCAAACCGCGACGGAGAGCAATGAAATGATTTATTTGCTAGTCCTGGGTGACAAGAAAAGTGTATTGATTCTTTTATTTTTTCATTACACACTTTTTTGTGTGATGAATAGCTGACGAGGCGAACCCCATAGTCACGAGCACCTGCCGTTCAGTGATGGAAACCGGTGACCTAATCCCCGGGACTTGGTGTGGCAAACCACATAAGGTCCCGCTAAGTTAGGGGCGTGGTATTGAACCGGACGACAACAAAGCCGCATACCACCAAAGTTGGTTAGCGGTGGCGGGGCTCGAGCCTCGGACTATAGGGTCCAAACCACGCGTGTGACAGCGATTAAACCTTGGAAAGGAGCCGCCGTAGAAGACATGATCATGTAGTTACTTGGGCGTTTGGTATGAGAGCCGGCCCCAGCTCCACTAGACTTTAGCTTTGAGGACGCATCTCTAGTCTTTGCACAACCAAGTGCAAACTGCAAGGTAGAGTAGGAAGTAATCCCTCGCAGCTCGGAAGTGAGGGGGTCAATGATTTTAGTTTTCAAAAGGCCAGTCACATCGACCTTTATCACGATACCCTCATTGGGCTTATACGGCTTTTAAACAGGAACCAGGTGACCAGCCTGAAACCCACCACACCCCGGGTAATGTCCAGCCGATGTGTTGTTCGCGACTGCTTATTTGTTGCACCATACCACAACTTATTCCCAACTAACCTTCTTCGGTAAAGCTATCCCCCTATTCATAACCCGTGGACGCGCGTGATAGCATTCAGCTCTGCTTAACTCGAGGATATCTCACATTGACACCGTTTATGTACTCATATTGTGTGAACTGTAGTTCTATCTCTACGACTGCAAGCATGGACCAAAGATCAAATATACAAATAAATCATACATACTACTTTGTCCTAGTCCATATAACGCGCTCAATTTAATATTGTTATTAACATCAACACTTGGATTGTTTTTTTTTTCCAACTGGTCCCATTCCATTTTATCCTCCATCCAACAAATAACTTGATAAANCGACTGCTTATTTGTTGCACCATACCACAACTTATTCCCAACTAACCTTCTTCGGTAAAGCTATCCCCCTATTCATAACCCGGGGACGCTCGTGGT